GGAGGTGGTTAAGAACATCAAAACTTTTGTGACTGTGTCTAGACACCCACCCTTCTTCTAACCTCATGGGAGCCTATCAGAACTTTAGCATCATTAGCAGCATATCCATCCAAATCCTTCTCCTGATTGCTTATTTACAATTAATGATGTAATCAGAGGGCATGGTCTAGGAGACAGTTGCAGCACCCTTTAAAATTATACACAATCTTGAGGCACCACATTTCAAAATGTAAATTGCAATAGCATCTACACCAGTGGTTCTCAACCTTTCTAATGCCGCGACCCCTTAATACAGTTCCTCATTTTGTGGTGACCCCCAACCATAAAATTATTTTCGTTGCTACTTCATAACTGTAATTTTGCAGTGGGAGGGCTAGCGCCCCATCACTGATGTCAGTGGGATGAATAGTGTCCCATCATTGGCATTAGTGGGAGGAATAGTGTCCCATCATTGGCATCAGTGGGAGGAATAGTGTCCCATCATTGGCGTCAGTGGGAGGAATAGTGTCCCATCATTGGCATCAGTGGGAGAAATAGTGCCCCATCATTGGTATCAGTGGGAGGAATAGTGCCCCATCATTGGTATCAGTGGGAGGAATAGTGCCCCATCATTGGTATAAGTGGGAGGAATAGTGCCCCATCATTGGTGTCAGTGGGAGGAATAGTGCTCCATCATTGGTGTCAGTGGAAGGAATAGTGCCCCATCATTGGTGTCAGTGGAAGGAATAGTGCCCCATCATTGGTGTCAGTGGGAGGAATAGTGCCCCATCATTGGTGTCAGTGGGAGGAATAGTGCTCCATCATTAGTGTCAGTGGGAGGAATAGTGCCCCATCATTGGTGTCAGTGGGGGGAATAGTGCCCCATCATTGGTGTCAGTGGGAGGAATAGTGCCCCATCATTGGTGTCAGTGGGAGGAATAGTGCCCCATCATTGGTGTCAGTGGGGGGAATAGTGCCCCATCATTGGTGTCAGTGGGGGGAATAGTGCCCCATCATTGGCATCAGTGGGAGGAATAGTGCACAATCATTGGCATCAGTGGGAGGAATAGTGCCCCATCATTGGTGTCAGTGGGAGGAATAGTGCCCAATCATTGGCGTCAGTGGGAGGAATAGTGTACAATCATTGGCGTCAGTGGGAGGAATAGTGCCCAATCATTGGCGTCAGTGAGAGGAATAGTGCCCAATCATTGGCGTCAGTGGGAGGAATAGTGCCCAATCATTGGTGTCAGTGGGAGGAATAGTGCCCCACCGTGGGTGTCAGTGGGAGGAATAGTGCCCCATCGTGGGTGTCAGTGGGAGGAATAGTGCCCCATTGTGGGTGTCAGTGGGAGGAATAGTGCCCCATTGTGGGTGTCAGTGGGAGGAATAGTGCCCCATTGTGGGTGTCAGTGGGAGGAATAGTGCCCCATTGTGGGTGTCAGTGGGAGGAATAGTGCCTCATCATTGGTATCAGTGGGAGGAATAGTGCCCCATTGTGGGTGTCAGTGGGAGGAATAGTGCCCCATTGTGGGTGTCAGTGGGAGGAATAGTGCCCCATTGTGGGTGTCATTGGGAGGAATAGTGCCCCATCATTGGGGTCAGGGGGGGGAATAGTGACCCATCATTGGTGTCAGGGGGGGGGGGAATAGTGACCCATCATTGGTGTCAGTGGGAGGAATAGTGCCCCATCATTGGTGTCAGTGGGAAGAATAGTGCCCCATCATTGGTGTCAGTGGGAGGAATAGTGCCCCATCATTGGTTTCAGTGGGAGGAATAGTGCCCCATCATTGGTGTCAGTGGGAGGAATAGTGCCCCATCATTGGTGTCAGTGGGAGGAATAGTGCCCCATCATTGGTGTCAGTGTGGTGGAGGGGGGAATAGTGCCCCATCATTGGGGTCAGGGGGAGGAATAGTGCCCCATCATTGGTGTCAGTGTGGTGGAGGGGGGAATAGTGCCCCATCATTGGTGTCAGTGGGAGGAATAGTGCCCCATCATTGGTGTCAGTGGGAGGAATAGTGCCCCATCATTGGTGTCAGTGGGAGGAATAGTGCCCCATCATTGGTGTCAGTGTGGTGGAGGGGGGAATAGTGCCCCATCATTGGGGTCAGGGGGAGGAATAGTGCCCCATCATTGGTGTCAGTGTGGTGGAGGGGGGAATAGTGCCCCATCATTGGGGTCAGGGGGGGGAATAGGGACCCATCATTGGTGTCAGTGGGGGGGGGGAATAGTGACCCATCATTGGTGTCAGTGGGGGGGGGGAAATAGTGTCCCATCGTTGGTGTCGGTGGGGGGAGGAATAGTGCCCCATTCTTGGTGTCAGTGGGGGGAGGAATAGTGCCCCATTCTTGGTGTCAGTGGGGGGAGGAATAGTGCCCCATCGTTGGTGTCAGTGGGGGGAGGAATAGTGCCCCATCACTGGTGTCAGTGGGGGGAGGAATAGTGCCCCATCATTGGTGTCAGTGGGGGGAGGAATAGTGCCCCATCGTTGGTATTAGTGACAGCAATGATGGGGCACTATCCCTTCCACTGACACCAATGATACTTACCTTGCTGACTCCTGCTCCAGCCTGGGCTTGCTCTCTCCCTCTCCCATCTACAGCCTGCATACCTGGCTGCAGCAGCAAAATTTGCACTTGCCTGTCAGCTGTTTTCCTTCTCTGGCCTCTCTCTTCACTCGCTCCTGCCGCTCCCTCGATCTTCTTTGATCTCCGCGCGCTGCCGCTCGGCTCCTCCTCTCCAAGCTCCACCTCCTCGCCGGTGATTGGCCGCCTGTGTGCCTCTCCTGAGCTACAGTTCCGGTGGCCAATCAGCGGCGAGGAGGCGGAGCTGTTGAGTGATCCCGGTGGTGTGGCCAGGTTACAGGGGCAGCATATCATCCCGCCCACACATCGCCTGAGACAGGAGCGGTGTCTCGGTTCCTAAGACCATCGGAAATATGTGTTTTCCGATGGTCTTAGGCGACTCCTGGGAAATGGTCGTTCGACCCCCAAAGGGGTCGCGACCCCCAGGTTGAGAACCGCTGATCTACACAAATAGGACACCCAACATTAAAATTGATTTAGTTTTACAAACCAAATACAATCTTGCACACTGGTACAGACTAGTATTCCAGCATTTCTTCTCCCTCTTTTTCTCTCCTCATGCAGCTAATTTGACTCCAGTGCTGAGAGAGAGGGGCCATGATGGGGAAGGGGAGGGGGGAGGGATTTATAACAAGGATGCTGTGCAGGTGCCCCAAAGTCCTCCTTAACAAATGTTGATTTTAGCTATTATTGGATTGGTGGCAGGGATGGTGCCCAAGATTGTAATGTTGCATAATGACAATCTGCGGCTTTGCGTAAAATAGGCTTGATCCACCCCCTGGCTTGTACACAATGTTTTGCCAATTTCGGACAATTGTTAGGCTTTTTTCCAAGGCACCACTGAAGAACTTAGAAGACACCCCGGGGTGCTGTTGAAAAAGACTGGTCTAGGAACAGAAAGATCTACTCAGAGACTTTGTACAACTGCTGAAAACTGACTTGTCTGATACTGTTAGAAGTTTGATTCAGTTTAGATTTACAGTTGTTAGTTGTCTAGTGCCCATTATTTTGAACATTTAATACAATAACAAATATATGTAAAAAAATGTGTTATTGCGCTTATAGATATATCAGAATCTCTAATTATCAACTGCAGCAGTCCTAAATTGTGAACCTAAACGCACAAAAATAAATATGTAACCATATGGACCGCGCATAATATGTGCATAAAACAATGAAGTATAAAAAGTCATTATATGAAATTAACAATTGAGCACCAGCGCTTTGCACTTATGTCACTGTTTTGGGACTGAGTTATATTATACTTTATTGTCGTATGCACATGTTATGCGCGGTCCATATGGTTACAACAAATATATGAAAGTCACATCCAAATTACTTTCATTTAAACACCTCAACAATACCTTAAAATATGTGCTCCATGAAAACACACTATATGCTCCCTCTATGTAGATTTAATAATGTTACATGTAAATTTGAAGTGTAGGGTACTTAGACTAGTTTTGTTCATAAACATACATAAAATATAGTTTAAAAAAAATTAATAGCAAAGTTCATGTTGGCCATTTTCAGTGTTGCTACAGAATAAAGGCACTGTGGACGTATTTTATTTTCCAGTAAAGGAGATACACCTGAGAAAACAGCACCATTTTCAGCCTTCCACCCCCGCCTTTTCAATATACATCCCAAACCTCACTAACTTTTCATTGTTTCTCTCTATCTATTTTTTTGCATAGTTCTCATGTACTAGTGATTTTTGTTTTCATTCCTCCACGCCAGAGCAAGCCTCATGAAGAGGCAGGAAGTGTCTTAGTCACAGGAATGTCCCTGACTTTGGTTCCCCTTTGAGCAAAGTGACAATTGCTGTGTTATTTTCATTGAAAGCCGCATCCTTTCCTTCAGGGCTTGAATTAGCCTCTTCCAAAGGAAGTTTATCCTGAATGGGGTCTAAAGACTACCCTCCAGCCCACACTTCTTTTTTTGCATCTGGCATATTGACAATTAATATTTGAGTCAAAATTTTGACAGAGGTTTAATTAAATAACTTTTTTAACCCAATAGCTGTTCCTATTGAGAAGTGTACTATTAATGTTCTAGATATTATAAAAGAAGGTATGCAGACAAGAAAACCTGTTGCTTTTCGGTTTTTAACCGCAGTAATTCAGCTGTGTTCCTTTAACTACTTTACAACCGCCTGCCTGCAATGGACTGTGGACGGGTGGCCACTGTAGGCAAATCAACGTACTGGTTTGTCGCTGCCTACTTCTGGGTTTCGGGCACAAGCGTGCACCCCCCCTCCCCGCCAGCACCCACTGTGATTGTACACAGCAGAAGCCTGTCAGCAATTCTTGGCCAATGATTCCCAGCCGGGGACCTGCTGATTGGCTGTGTACATACACAGCCCAGAGCTCTGTGTTGGTAAATAACACAGAGCTCTGTACAGAGGGAGTGATCTGTCAGTTTCTCATCCCTGCAAAGCAGGGATGAGAACCTTAGAGATCATTTAGTAAAAGCAGCATGCTTTACACACATTATGCATAGTAAGGCACACATTTAACCCCCAGGGGCGGACTGAAAACTCATGGGGCCCCTGGGCAATAGGGGATCATGGGGCCCCTGTGTCCTTGCCCAAACTCAAAAAAGCCTATGAAAAAGGTACCAGGGGCATCTCATGGGGCCCACTACTGACCCCGGGCCCTCGGGCAGTGCCCAAGTTTCCAAATGGTCAGTCCGCCCCTGTTAACCCCTTGATCGCCCTAGTTGCTAACCCCTTCCCAGCCAGTGTCACTTCTGCAGTGATAGTGTATAGTGTTATCACTGATCACTGTATTAATGTCACTGGTGATGTCAGTATCAGATTGCCCCTGTACTCCCGCAGTCCCATTATAAGTTTCTGATCATCACCATTAGTAGTATAAAAAAAGTCCAGTATATATACCATAGTTTGTAGGTGCTATAACTTTCACACAAACCAATATATACTTACTGGGATTTTTTGTTATCAAAGACATGTAGCAGAGTACATTTCTGACAAAATTAGTTGTTTTTTTTGGATAGGTTTTATAGCAGAAAGTGAGAAATATTTTTTTTTTCAACATTTTCTTTATTTTTTCATTATTATCACAAAAAATAAAAAATGCAGTGGTGATGAAATACCACCAAAAGAAAGCTCTATTTCTGTGAAAGAATGATATAAAATTAATTTGGGTACAGCATTGCATGACTGCGCAATTACCAGTTAAAGCAGCGCAGTGCAGTATAGCACAAAATGGCTTGGTCATGAAGGGGGTAAAATCTTCCAGAGCTGAAGTGGTTGATAAATTTGTATTTATATGGTTTTGGCAGATGCTAATACTTCAGCTGAGTGCTGTTTATACTTTTTTACTCAAATTTGCTTACAGATGTACATTGACAAGTTAAACATCCTGTTTAAATCTTCATGCAGGTTCCTGCTTCAATGTAAATATACTGCTCATATCAGTGATATGTTATAAAAACTGTTTTATGATATAGACACATGCTAAACTTCCTGTTTTGAAACACTTTCAAAACACTTTTGCTTAACATGAGTGGCTACTGCATATGTATTATTGTGTATTTATTTATTTATGTAAATTTATACCTACCTTAACTGAATGGATACTAGGAAGTCAAATTCAAACACTACCATAGAGCATTTAAATCAAACATCATACATTTATCTAGGATTGGTGTGGAACAAATTATCTATTTTAACTTTCTTTTTTCCACATATATCTGACTTTTAAAAATCTTTAAAATGATTCTGTCTCATGACTGCTGAGATGCATAGGCGTGAAGCAGTGGTCTCCAAAATACTGCCTGGGGGTCGGGTTCGGCCCTTTGCTTGCTTTTATCTGGCCCTTGGAACACTATTTAATTCACTGACATCAATAAAAGGCATAATTCCTTCTAATGACACCAATGATGGGCAACCAATGAGATAAATGATGGGGAATAGTTCCCCCCAATGACACCAACAATGGGGACTAATGACACCAATGAAGGGGCACAATACCTCCCAATGGCACTGATGATGAAGCACAATTCCTCCCACTGCTGGAACATTTTGTATTCCTGTTGGCCATAGTCCCGCCCCCCTAAAGACTGAAGGACAGTAAACTGGCTCTTTGTTTAGAAAGTTTGGAGACACCTGGCCTAAAGCCATAACTGTAATAAATAAGTAATCTTGCCCAAAGAGGACATGGACACTAATTAAAGTATAACTAAGAGCAAAACTTTTTTTTGTGTTGGATAGAGTGGAGAGGGATTAGAACCTCTGACAGTTTTCATTGCTGTCTGTGCCCTCGTTTAGGAGATTCACCCTCTTTTATTGTCCTGTTTGCCATTATCATTGAAAGCAAAAATAAAAGAGAATCCCAAATTTTAGGTTGTCCCCAGAAACGTAATACAGGGGAAATCTTCCAATGGGAACACTAGTTCTGGTGACCTGGGGGTCCCCAAGAAATTTCCTTAATTCGCAAAGATTTCTTCTCACTTCCTGCTTGGCTTTCGGACAGGAAGTGAAGGGAAATCTCTGCAACGGGACACAGATGGTGAAAAAAAAAATCTGACAGGGGTTATAACCCTCCTTACTCTATCTGAAATGGAAAAAAAAGTTTTTCTTATAGTTCTACTTTCAATTAGAATTGGAAATTTTCAAATAGCAACTTAACTAATCGCAGTAACTTGACATAGTCAAAAAGGCCTGTCCTTACCAGGCAGGCAGGCATTAGACAGGCTCAAACTTACACTCAAGGGCATAGCCCAATAAATCAACATTAAAGCAGAGTTCCACTTAAAAAAAATAAATAAATAAAAGTCAGCAGCTAAAAAAACTGTGGCTGCTGACTTTTCAAATACAGCCTTACCTGTCCCTTGGTCCACGGTGTCTTCACCACCGCTGGTTTCACCGGCCATCTTCTCTCCCTGGCGTTGGCATCTTCAGTGTGGGCACCCATCTGTGACAGCTTGTGGCTTCACAGCCGGGTGCCCAATGCGCATGCGCGAGAAGTGCTGCACTTTGTGAATGGCCCCGTAGTCTTCTGGGACCTGTCACATGTCTCAGACATCTATGGGGAGGGAGGGAGGACAACTTCCGCTTCCAATCGCCTAGGCAATCACAGAGGAAGTGGGAAAGAGTACCTGTCAAATTCAGGTACCTGCTCCCCCTCCACTCCCCAAAGGTGCCATCCTTAATGGGGAGCGGGAAAAAGGCTTATAGCGGAACTTCCCTTTTCGGGTGGAACTCCGCTTTAAGTCTCAGTTCACTCTACTGCTACCTGAAAGTGGCTTGCAGTGCCACTTTGCCAGGTGACTTGAGTACTACTTTGAAACAACTCTGAAACTACTTTGAAGCAACTTTCAGGGAAGTAATCTTCCTGTAATATCGGATCCAAATCACATGAATATAGATGAGGATCTGACTTGGAGGTGACTTCTATTAAATTCTATGGGCACAAGTCGGATCGAAGTCGCCTTGAAGTAGTACAGGAACATTTTCTAAAGTCGGAGTGACTTCAGTAGTGCTAATAAAGATAGCTCTCATGGACTAACATGGGATTTCACATGTCATGCGAATTGGGGTCCCACAAGTTGGATCCCAAGTCGCGGCTGTGTGAACTGTGCCTAAAGCAACATCCTTAAAATTGGCAAGTGAGCTGTCAACTTTTCTGAGTGATGAAGTTCTTCAGGTCATCAGTGTGTGCTTCAGTGTAGATCTTTAATGGATTTCAGGCCCTGCCCTATCACCCAATGCCTAGAAAGCCAATCACCCTGGAGCTACTGTACTTGAACCTTTGTTACATATGTTAATGCCGACTTACTGAGCCATGCTTTCATCAGTCAAGGCACTTCCACAAAAATATGGTTAAGCAAGGTAATAGTATACCATTAATAGATATAAGAAAATAAGGCATTCACACCAAAATTTAAGATAAGGCAAACTAAAGGCAGCTAACAAATAGGTTTTTTTTTGGTTTTTTTTTGGTTCAAAGATGCTCTTTGTTAAGTTTTATTCATACAAACCGATAACATAAAAAAATTACAGTGTACACCACTTCACAAACTTTTCCCCTTCAAAGAAGTGACGACAAGATTAATAGCCATGATAAAAATAGTACAGCAGAACAAAATACATAGCAGCATATCTAGACAATTAAATGTTCTTCTAACACAACCAATGTAAGTTGGTACAGAGAAGAGCAGAATTAATTACATTTTTCCATTCAGAAGGAGATGGAGCAGGAGATTGGTTCCAGGTCAGTAGCATCCTCCACCAACCAAAAAAAGTATTTTTTTTTTTTTTTTTTTTTTTTTTTTTAGACATATAGTAGCCTCAAAAACTTCATAGAATGTAAAGTAAGCTGGAGATCCTCCACCAACCAAAAAAAGTATACTTTAGATCATTGTATATTCAGCAGGTCCAAGGCCAATTCAAGAAACTCATTTACCTGTGACCAGAATGAATGCACTTGTGCGCATATGCATAGGGCATGAAAAATCGGCTTCCTGACCACAGGCACGAAAACAAAGTGCTGAGTGTCTGAGTTTCAACTTGTATAATTGTAAAGGAGTATAATATATCAGATGATAAAGTTTTAGTTGGATACATTTGGATAAATTTGTCTTTCAAAGAGAATGTACACTAACAGCTAGTTACACAAGATACATACTATAGAGGTGTCATTGACACTGCCTGACATACAGCACATAATACTGTCTGATAACACTGTTCAACAAATTTTTAATTTTTTGCCAGTTTTGGAAACAAAAGGATCCATTTCTTAATGAATTTCACATTCTGAGTTCAAATATAACAATGAAATTTGTCAATTGGCTCTAGTTTTTTCTGTAAACGGAAAGTTTTCTACTATAGGCGTAATGACTACATAATGCACAATAATTAATAGATAGATGTCTTTCCACAAATAAAAAGCAATGATATTGACTACATAACAAAGCCTAAATGGCATAATATATTGCATAGGATTACCAAGAAAAATTATAGCCATAAGCTAAGTTGAATCATTTTAATACTTAGGATTCTCACTAGTTTTGTCTTCAGTTTGTGTCGGTTTTGCTTCTGTTGGCTTTTCTCTTGTATTCGAGGAAAGGGCTATCTCTTACAACTGCACGTGACTACATGCTTCAGGTTCTTCTTCACTTGACTCAACCACGAAGGATTCTGGTGCTTTAGGAATTGGTAGCCCCTCTCCATGAGGAACTGGACGTATTGCCGATGGAATATTTGGATAGTGCACAGATAACTTTTTCTTCTTATTTATACAATTGGAGGCACCATACAAAAGTATTTGTTGGCTCTCTCCAAATCATTGGCACAGCGAAAGGCATAGATGCCTTTTTTCCATTATATATATGTGGTGCCCAGCTCTTGTCCTGGTCTCCTATCTTGCAGCCAAAATACAAGTTGTAGGCTTATCATTCCTGGCTCCTTTTTTGTGAGATAAAAGTTATTTCACCGCAGCAGAAATTATCTGCTTTATTCACACAAGTTCGTGCA